TTTCCCTCAGGAAAACCAAGGATTCCCTTTCCCGTCAGGAAAACCAGAGATTCCCTTTTCCCTCAGGAAAACCAAGGATTCCTTTTTCCCTCAGGAAAACCAGAACATCCCTCTTCCCTCAGGACAACCAAGAATCCTGTTTCCTTCAGGAAAACCAGAACATCCCATTTCCCTCAGGAAAACCAAGGATCCCTTTTTCCCCCAGGAAAACCAAGAATTCCCTTTCCCCTCAAGACAACCAGAGATTCCCTTTTTCCTCAGGAAAACCAGAACATCCCTTTTCCCCTCAGGAAAACTAGAGATTCCCTCTTCCTTCAGGAAAGCCAGAGACTCCCCTTTCCCTCAGGATTACCTGAACATCCCGTTCCCCTCAGGAAAACCAGAACATCCTTCTTCCCTCAGAACAACCAAGAATCCCATTTCCCATCAGGAAAACCAGAACATCCCTTTCCCCCCCAGGAAAACAAAGAGATTACCTTTCCCCTCAGGATAACCAGAGATTCCCTTTTTCCTCAGGATAACCAGAGATTCCCTTTTCCCTCAGGACTACCAGGACCCAGCCTTTCCCTCAGGAAAACCAGAAAATCCCTTTCCCCTCAGGAAAACCAGAACATCCCGTTTCCCTCAGGACAACCAAGGATTCCTTTTTCCCTCAGGAAAACCAGAGATTCCCTTTTCCCTCAGGAAAATGAGAGATTCCCTTTTCCTTCAGGAAAAGAAGAACATATCTTTTCCCTCAGGAGAACCAAAGATTCCCTTTTCCCTCAGGATTACCAGGACCCAGCCTTTCCCTCAGGAAAACCAGAGAGTCCCTTTTCCCTCAGGAAAACCAGAACATCCCTTTTCCCTCAGGATAACCAGAGATTCCCTTTTCCCTCAGGAAAACCAGAACATCCCTTTTCCCTCAGGATAACCAGAGATTCCCTTTTCCCTCAGGAAAACCAGAAAATCCCGTTTCCCTCAGGACAAGCAAGGATTCCTTTTTCCCTCAGGAAAACCAAGGATTCCTTTTCCCCCCAGGAAAACCAGAGATTCCCTTTCCCATCAGGAAAACCAGAACATCCCTTTCCCCTCAGGATAACCAGAGATTCCCTTTTCCCTCAGGAACACCAGGACCCAGCCTTTCCCTCAGGAAAACCAAGGATTCCCTTTTCCCTCAGCATTCCCAGCACACCCCTAGTTCCCCCCAGGCCTCTCCCGGCT